TTCTAATTACATTTTGTTAACCAGTCATAAAAATGTACCTAAAAACCAACACAGATTTTTAAAAAAAGATAACAAATAATAATGCAAATATACTCATATTTGTACTTCTTATCAGTTTTTTTAAACAACCAAGTTTAGACTTACAAGGGGACGACCTGTTGGTGTGTCACGGATTTGGACCAAACTTCTTTTTTTTTTTCTTCTAAAAACTTTAAAATATCAGACATGTATCCACCATTTCTTGTTAATAAGCCCTGTTTTGGCACAAATGTTTTTTGAAAGTTAAAATTTTCTTTTAATATTTTTATTTTGCCATCCTACTTATTCAAATAAATTATGTGAAATATCATTTTATGGCATTTTTTATGTAGATTGCAATAAAAATATAATATAAGATTTCAAAATTTACTAGTAAACTAGGCCAACTAGGTTGGCTGTTTTTTTTGTGTGTTTTTTCCTCCTCCGGAGAATCCACTTGTCATCATCGCAAGTAACAATTTTGTCCAGAAAAGGTACATTTCTGTTTTATCAAGCCAGTGTTGTGCAAACTTCATAATGATGATTTTTTTCGGCAGTCTTTAATCCATGAGGGGCCCTTTTGAGCTTTTTCACCTCTTCAATTGCCTTAAAGTTAAAATTGCCTTAAAGCATGGTCGATTTGTTAACAACTGAAAGATTCTCTACAAGTTTGCCAAAAGTTGTTCTAGGATTTTCTTCATCGTTGTCTAGAGAAGAAATCCTTCCATGGCCTTCTTTGTTTTGAAGGTTAAAGTTTTCCTCTCAAAATTTTTTTTAAACAATTTCTAAACAGTGCTCTCACTCAAACTGCCATCGCCCCAGACTTCATTATTGTAGGAAATAAGGCCAAATGAAGCCCATCGTAGAGTCACAATCACTTTTTTTTTTGTGTGATTTGGGGGCTCTGGAAAATGTTGTGCTACTTCTCCTTTATCGAGGAAGATGTCATAGAGGTATTTTGGTACATTTCAGTTTGAATATTAGCCCCTTATGCCATACTTTGTCAAAAGCTTGCTGTAAATCGACAAATGCAGCTAGCTTTTTTTCTCAAAACCTTGCACTGTTTTCGGTGATTCTATACACCTGGTGGCAGATTGACTGGGATAAACTTTAAAAAGGAGTAGAAAAAAGACTGCATTAATAATCAATTATTATTTTGCTTCTGTTGTGTCCTGCACTAGCGAGTTTTTATTTTATTTTTTTTTTTTTGCAGTATGTACTGAGTTTCAACTCTTGTGTGAGCATCAACATCATCAAAATAACTAATCAAGTCTGAGTCTGTTTCTGTGTTATTTTTCTCTTTAATATATCGATGTCTGCCTTAGCTAAGTTTGTACGAGACTCTACAGCTTTTCATTGAAGGTGTTCACTGACTTTGTTTACTAAGTGTATGACAAAAAAAATTTCTGATCATCCTGGTACTATCAGAGATGTTAGGCCATCTTCAGGGTTAAGCGGATTAAAATAAATCTAAATTTTAAGTCCAAATAATATTATTTATGTGCGATATTTAGTGACTATTAATTAATGATTATTTAGAGGTTGTGAGATGCGGTCTGGTGTGATGTAAGTTTATAAAAGCATTTTCTTTATCGTACCAACATTTCGATCTTTATTGAGATCATCTTCAGGACCTAGGATTTACAAACGTTGTTTAAATTATACCAATACATGTAAGATGTGAAAATGAATTTATACAATGAAGTATACAATATAGAAATTTTAGATTTAATCAAAAGTATTTGTATTCACTCAAAGCGAGTGTTTTCTATGTAGATGTGTCATTGTTGTGTCGTGTTGAGAGTGTTAATGAGATATTATTTCTTGTTTACACATTTGATTTTGAAGGAGTGGAGATAGAAGTCCATTTTTCTATGAGAAGATGGCTTCTTTGAGGAGAAAGGGGAAATGGTTTGTCGATCAAGCCCAGTTAGCCTTTCAGGATTATTACAGGGAAAGGAGAGTTAAATTGTTCAAGAATTAGACTATGTACAAATGTTTGATGTGTGGAATGCAATGATTGTTTTATATGTTGTATTATGCTTTGTGTGTTAAATGTATGTTATTGGTATTAAATTTGATTCTGTCTGTTCTGTAATTGATGCTGTGTTTATCTCTGTTGAAGTAAACCCTTTCTAAAAAGTTACATTTATGTTTGTTTTCTTCTGTGTGTAAGTTGTTGAAGTCAAAATTGAGTTGGTGTTCAAAATGGTGGGTAGCCAGTGCTGTAAGATTTTGTTTGGATTTTTTTGCAATCATAGATATGTTGTTTTACCCTCTTATCAGATATTGGCATATAATTCCGATGTAAGTTGCTGGATAATTTATACAACTGATTTTGTAAATGATATCAGACTTATTTGTTACTTGTGTGTGATCTTTAATTATGGGAAAAAGAGTGTGAATAGTTTATAGTTTTGGAAGGCTATTTTAAAGTCAGAAGAAAGAAATGTGTTTAGTTTGTGTGATAGGTCGTGAATGAACGAGGATATATATGTTGGTTTGTCTATGTTTGATATAATTGATAAAATTAATGTAGTGTTATTAGTGATAGTGGATGGTGTTAGTGTTGAGTTGCAGTTATGTGTTTAGGGTAGTGATTGTTATGTAGGATATGTTTGTATATCTATCTTCTTGTGGTGACAAGATCAGGGTTATAATTCTGTGAAGTAGCCCTTTGACCATGTTTATTATTGTATCGATGGTTGAGGTGGCGATCCGCATTTCTTGGTCTTTGATACCAATCGGTGATTAATGTGCCATCTGGTCATCACAAGTGTATATAAAAATTTCTGCCCTACTTCCTTCCCCACACCTTCAAAATCAAACATCACTGACAGGCAAAAAATTCCACCCACTCGTAATATAACTTGATTTGTATATATTTTTATATATTAATTAAAGATTCACGTTTTTTAATATATAATAATTAAGTCTTTGTCTAAAAAAGTAAAACAAAAAAATGTAAATTGCTAAGGAAAATTAAAATTGAAAAAAAAGGAGAGATAAAATTTGTTGTAGATTATTTATTAACATTTCAATGTCGTGTATTTCCTCCTCTTGCCTTAATTACATCTTGAAACTGCCTCGGCATACTTTCTACCAATCTGGAAATGTCTATTTGCTGGAAGTTAGCCCATTTTTCACGAAGAGTCCATTCAAAATTGTGGAGTGTATCAGGAAGTGATGGACGTGCTCTTATTCGTCTTTTGAAGTTATCCCATAAATGTTCGATGTGGTTGAAGTCCAGAGAACGTAAGGGCCAAGCTAAGACCCTGATGTTATGCTGTTCGACGTACATTTGTACTATGCAAGCAACATGCGGACAGGCATTATCGAGCATTAGAATAGGATTTTCGCTGATTTCATCGAGGATTGCCAACTCATAATGTTCCAAAATTTCATTCACATAGCGAATGGCTGTCAAAGGCCCTCCACGAACAACAACCAACTCTGTGCAATTCTCCATGGAAATTCCTGCCCACACCATCACTGAACTAAGTTGAAAAGGTTGGCTCTGGGAAAAATTACAAGCTTCGTACCTTTCATTTCACCTTCTTACACTCTTTCACGCCTATTTGGAGATCTTAGAGCAAATCTGCACTCATCTGAAAAACGTACAGCAGACCAATCGTCCAAACATCAATGGCTTTGTTCTAGAGCAAATGCGAACCATGCAACTCTGAGTTCTGGTCAATTCTGGTCCTCGTACAGGACGATGGCGTCCATACTGATTTAATCTCCTTCGAGCAGTGTGTTCAGAAATTTGGACACCTCGAACTTCCTGGAGCTGATGAATCACTAAGGTGGTGGTTTCACAAAATTCTCAAAGTCAAAAACCGGTCATCTCGAGGTTCTGTACCCTAGGGCGTCCAGAACTGGGCCTTCTATGGTAGGACCCAGTTTCTCAAAAACATCTAGGCAATAGCCTCACACCTGAAGAAACGTTCATCATCAAAAAGTGCCACACTATGCACAACATCCTCAGCACTAAGTGGCATTTTTAAGTTTAAAAATTTAAATTGAGACAACAAAGATGCGAACTAAAATGTTTATTCAAATGAGACTGAATAAACATTTTATATGCCATAAAAAGAAAACGCTGAAAAATCCTTTATCCTTGTTTGGGATTAAGGATTAAGCGTGATTAACTCTAATTGATATTCCCAATTTAAAACAAAGCATAAATAAATATATATTGGTAAAAACAATGAGACAAATTAAGGGAAGAATTTTCTTTTATCGAGAAAATGAAAAAAAAAATTGATTGGGTGGAATTTTTTGCCTGTAAGTGTATAAACAAAAAATACTAACACTCTCAACACGTCTACACAGCAAACACCAACTTTCAGCAAGTACAAATACTTTGATTAAGCCTAAAATTTCTATATAAAAAAAATATATAAATATTTTATATAAAAATGTCTATACTCTATAAAAATCAAAAAATTGGCACAATAAAGAAAATGTTTTTCTAAACCTACATCGCACCAGACTGCATCGCACAACCTCTAAATAATATTATTTATTTTGATCAAATTTTCTGCAGCCTATAAGGTTGTCAGGGAGTCTGATGTATTGACGTTCCAAACAGGAAGAAAGCACAGATAGTAAATTAAAGATGGATGAAATTTATGGTGGTTTAAATTTTTCTGACGTGCTAGGATGATGATGATGAACATCAATGTATCCAAAAATAAAATTTGACTGGTTCAAATTTGCTTGGCTTATCAAAATATCCACTCAAATTGTCGACAGTTAATAATCAATTGGACGTGATAGCTGATAAGCTAGTGTAAACTAAATTAAAAAGGCTTGACTCTCCAGTCTATTTTGAACGAGTTACGAAATCAAATGCTAATATTGTCGCCGTTTAATTTAATACAGGACTTATTAGAAAAGGATGGCAGAAGGGAACAAAGGCGAGAGCGTTTGGCGTAGGCTTAAAAGAGGTAAAACCGAGTACTTTGGTGCATACTCACTTCTCATGACAGTCCTTATAGAGTACATCAGGTTTAAAATCTGCCCTTTGACCGAAGGAGTTTCCCCAAATCCTTGTACACTGCTCGCCGAAGTCCAGCCCACTAAACAAAACAAAAATTAGACAAAAGTAAATAATTTATTTTTAATTGGAATCCGCGTGTTCGGTGTTTTTAGAATAACCTTATCAACAGGGAAAAAATCTAGTTGGTATCAGTGGATTTTATTACGTTAATCGCGGGTTTTTTCTTTGGTGAAACGAGCTTTAATCGAAAACCGATGGGATGAAAGAAGCAAGTAAGTCGAAATATTAGATTTAAACTTAAATAAAATTAAGCAGGCAAATAGAAAGGGAAAATGAAAAGTCCTCACTTTTGGCGAGAAAGCGTTCTTCGTGTAGAACGCAGACGGCGTTCAAAAACAAAATCGTCGCCTCAAACAAATTCCACAAAGTAAATGCCATTTCTTTAAACTTTTTACCTATTGAGTTTCTTTTTTTTTAATTGAAAACGGGGAAAAAATTTTAAAAAACTCCGGCTTTATCACAAGTTAAAGTGTAACCTCCATGTATGGTTATAATCCGACAATCCAACTCGTTGAAACGTGTCGCGCATGCGCATCCGTTTCCGTTTTACCTCCCCATCCTTGCCACTTTTCCATTTATGTACCGGCGTGTCGACAAAACAAAAAAAAACCTTGAAAGAATATATGATAGAGAAAAATACCGACAAAAGAAAAGGGGCGGAAGGTCTTTTTTACCAGGCATGAATTGCAAAAAATAAGGTATTCCGATTTACAGATCAAATAGGAAACCGTTAAGGTGGTTGAACTTGGAACTGTTAGCTAAACACGTTTTCGGCCCTGTGCCAATATGAACAAGGCACACGCATGTGATCACGCACTAAAGCTAAAATCCACGAAAAAACGCCCTTTTCAATTTAGTTATATTCTCGTACACGATAAGTCCACTAATGAAAAAGAAACCATACAATTATTTATATGTACGTATTGTTTCAACCTACTACAAATTAGCTCATAAATGAGTGTGGATTATGTGTTTGTGAGTGCAAATGCTTTAGTTCACCCCAGTCTTCATGTTGTATTCCTCAAGCAGGTCCTCTCTGGATTCTCACACTATCATTCTCTTACCGTTTCACACGCTAGATCTTTCTCACTAGCTCTTTCTCCCATACAAACTCACACTCTCTTCAGTTCTCACTCACTTTCTTTCTCCAATCATCCTTAGAGTGTGAAAAAGAGAGGGGAGAGTGAGAAAGAGAGGATGAGAGAATTTGGAGCAGGCAAGTGTGTAAGAGCGTAAGAAACCGAAAGTGAGTGAGGACTAGGGAGAGTGTGAGAAAGAGGGGATGAGTGAATGTGAAGCAGGCAAGTTCTGATTGAAAGGGTAAAAGAACGAAAATGAGTGAGGACTAGAGGGAGTGTTTTTTTTTAGATTTTTATTAAAGCATTTAAAAAAATTAAAAAGTGAAATTATTCCAAATAACAAGTGTCAATCTTAAATACGACAGTCAATGACAAGTAATAAATAGCAAAATAAGCGAGAATCGATCATTCTCTTAACGTTTCACACGCTAGCTCTTTCCCTCATACAAACTCATACTCAATCTCTTTCTCACACTCTCTCACTTTCTTTCTCCAATCCCCCACGCAGAGTGTGGAAACGAGAGGGGAGAGTGAGAAAGAAAGGATGAATGAATTTGGAGCAGGCAAGCGTGTGAGAAGTAAGAGAACGAAAGTGAGTGAGGACTAGGGAGAGTGTGAAAAATAGAGGGGAGAGTGAGAAAGAGAGGATGAATGAATGTGGAGCAGGCAAGTTCTGATTGAAAGGGTAAGAGAACGAAAGTGAGTGAGGACTAGAGAGTGTGAAAAAGAGAGTTTGTGATTGAGAGATTGAATGAATGAATATCGTTTAATTTAAAAAAAAAAATTCGATCGTGTAGTGTGATCGTTAGGGTATGTAACCATCCGTAACATCCCTGTAGTGTTATTAAAAATTATCGTTTTAATTTTAAAAAAATTTAAAAGAGAGGATGTGTAAGGGTAATAGAACGAATGTGAGTGAGAGCGAGAATATGAGAAAGAGAGAGAACTTGATGGAGAGAGTGGGAGGATGTGTGAAAGGGTAAGAGAAAAACCGTGAATAAGAGCGAGAGAAAGAGACAGAGAAGCATAAAAGGGTAATAAAAAGAATGTGAGTCTGAATGAGTAAATGAGAGTGTGTGTCTGAAACTGTAAGAGAAAGAATGTGATTGAGAGTGAGAGCGAGGGAGATAGAGTGAGTAAGGGAGAGAGAGTGTATGTGAAGGACTGAGGGAAAGAAAGTGAGTGAGAGTGGGAGAGTAAATGAGAGTGTGTGCGCGCGCGCGTTTAAGAGAATGGATGTGAGCGAGAGCGAGAGGAAGTTATTGAAAGTGAATGTGTGTGAGTGAGAGAAAAGAGAGTGAATGAATGTGGTGCGAGCAAGTGTGTGAGAAGGTAAGAGAACGAAAGTGAGTGAGGACTAAAGTGAGGTGAACAAGAGAGTGAGTGATTGAATGAATATCGTTTTATTTTAAAAATCCCGTTCGTATAGTTTTATGAAAAATTATCGTTTTAATTAAAAAACTTGAAATAGAGAAAGAGAAAGCAAATATTTTAAAGGGTAAGGGAAAGAATGTGAGTGAGAGCGAGAGATTGTGAGAAAGAGAGAGACTGATAGAGTAAGTGAGAGTGAAATGGTGAAGGTTTGGGCCTATAGCAAATTACAAAGATCTAAATTTAGAATGATATTTTGAAGACCTAGCTTATTTTAAACCTCTTTTACCCATATTTCCGACATAATTAGAAATTTATGTTAGTAGTTATTTTTAAGAGATCTGTCTTTTGAAAAAGTTTCCCATCGACTAGGAATTCGGCTGGACGTCAAGGTTATAAGCAGGGTGAGACTCTTTTGCTTGAATTCTCGTCCGATTCAGACGCGAAATATGTCCTTGTTTCAAAAATTTCTTGTCTTGGTTGTTCAAATTGGGCTGTTTTGTTGTTAAAATCCTTTAATAATCAATATATGTTATAGTTTTTGATAATTCTGTTATATTCCAGGCAATTTCATTGTGGCTTCCTCGAGAAAGCTTTCTGTCTTGTAAAGAAAAAAAAACCCTGAAGTCTTTTCTTCAATGTTTACTTATTTGCCAAGTTATTATATATTCAAATTATCTTGAGAAAATTCCAAGGGCAGCTCACAGGAATTCCAGTGGTGCTATATAAAAAATTATATCCCCTTTCTGTTATATTATTTTCTTTATATATTTTATTTTTGCAAAACAGTTCAGACTGCCAAAGCAATTCGAATTGTTTCAAAACAATTTTTCAAAACGTTAGCTTTCTACTAATTTCTACATGTTTACAATTTTGACTTAACATCGACTTGAAAATTAATTTTGTACAAACAAGGAACTATTTGGATCTTTATTAAAGTATAAATAAAATTTTGCGAAATTATGCGAAGGAATGTGTGTCATCACTAGGTCAGTCAATGACCTAGTACTTATTAGGAGAAGGATCGTGTCGATTGCACTGAACTAAGTAACTAGGAAAGTACAATAAGCGAGAAAGCTGTGCTGGGGGATTTAAAAAACCTCTTCCATGATTCATCATCATCATTAATTTCTACATATTTACACTTTTAACTTAATATTCTTGAAAATTATTTTTCTACAAACAAGAATCTTGGATCTTTATTAACGTGTAAATAAAATTTTGTGAAATTATTCGGAGTAAAATTTATCAACTGTAAATAATCGTTTAAGGACATGAAATATGATCATTCATGGATGAAAAATGTACGATCAATGTCAAATTCTTGCTAGAAAAAAACTAATGAACGGATTAGCATGTTAAAAAAATCACATCAAAATTAGTCAGTGAATGCTTTCAAAATCTTGGGAAACACAATCTGATGATTTTTTTGGTTACTAGGGAATTGTGGCCAACGATAAAGCAGACACACTGGTCAGAGGACGATCAGACCATATATGTTTACAATTTTGACTTAACATCGATTTGAAAATTAATTTTCTACAAACGAACAAGGACTATTTGGATTTTTATTAAAGCATTTAAAAATAAAATTGAAAAGTGAAATTATTCGAAGGAACAAGTGTCAGCCTTAAATACGACAGTTAATGACATTGTAATAAATAATAAAATAAGCCAGAATCAATCATTCTCTTACCGTTTCACATGCTAGCTCTTTCTCACTCACTCTTTCTCGCATACAAAGTACAAACTCACACTCAATCTCTTTCTCACACTCTCTTCAGTTCTCACCCACTTGCTTCCTCTAATCCCCCACTTAGAGTGTGAAAAAGAGAGGGGAGAGTGAGAAAGAGAGGATGAGTGAATTTGTAGCAGGCAGGTTTCTGAAAGGGTAAGAGAACGAACGTGCGTGAGGACTAGAGAGAGTGTGAAAAACGGGGGAGAGTGGAAAAGAGTTGATAAGTGAATGTGGAGCAGGCAAGTTCTGATTGAAAGGTAAGAGAACGAAAATGAGTGAGGACTAGAGAGATTGTTTTTTTTTAGATTTGTATTAAAGCATTTTAAAAAAAATTGAAAAATGAAATTATTCCAAGGAACAAGTGTCAACCTTAAATACGACAGTGAATGACATAGTAATAAATAATAAAATAAGCCAGAATCGATCATTCTCTTATTATTTTACACGCTAGCTCTTTCTCACTCACTCTTTCTCCCATACAAACTCACACTCAATCTCTTTCTCTCACTCTCTTCAGTTCTCTCACTTTCTTTCTCTAATCCTCCACTTAGAGTGTGAAAAAGGGAGGGGAGAGTGAGAATGAAAGTGAGTGAGGATTAGAAAAGATGTTTTTTTTGTTGTTTTTTAATTTTTTTTTTATATTAAAGCATTTTTTTAAAAATTGAAAAATGAAATTATTTCAAGGAACAAGTGTCAACTTTAATACGACAGTGAATGGCATAATAATAAATAATAAAATAAGCCAGAAGGATGCAGTCCTTGGGAAAGAAAAAACCCACTTCCTAGCATCCATCATCATCATAATAATCAATTTCTACATTTTTACGCTTTTGACATTAAACATCTGTTGTGTCTATTCTCCTGGTTTGTTCTTTTCACATTGACCCTATTAATTTATTATTGATGCTAATCATCCATGGGTCCGTATGATCTCGTTTTTTAAAATATCTGATTTGATTTTTCTGTATTTTTTTTTTTAAACTTGCTTTGTCACCGAGCTTTGACGGATAATTTCAAAACATAAATTTCTTCCCTAAAAACACACATAAACTGATGTATTCTGTAAAATCCAAGACGTAACAGTGCCCCATAAATTTTAGGAGCTTCTACGTTTCTTCCAACCAGTATATAGCTCAGGTTAAAAATAAAGCCGTTATAAATGTTCCTTATTTGAATAGTGTTAAAAAATTTCAAACAATAGTTCTAGTAAATAATATGACAATTTCCAAGATGAGGAAAAATTTACAGGATAAACAATTTCAACCTAGAGATTAGAGACGTATTTCACCGAGGACGTGTTTCTCTCTGTCTCACTCTTTCTCTTTTTTCTTTCTCTCTCTTTCTCACTCTCCCTGGGGGATGAAATCCGAGATGTAAATATTTCCAAGGTTCTTTCAAGATAGGAGATACACGCGAGGAAACAAATTGATTTACGTTCTTTTATTGACTTTGTTCCTGGCTATTTCGTTAAGGCCAAACGCATACAGGACCAGAAGGTCAAATGCCGATACCTGGTTAATTAAAAAACAACCTTTGTGAGGTAATTAATTAGTCTAAATAATTATTATTAATAATATATAAAATTTTATTGTATTTTTTTCCTCGGGTAAGTAGTGACGATAGTCTATCTGTTTTTCACAGCGGCGTAAAAGTTGTTTTGATTGCAACTTCGTTTTTGTTGTTAGTTATACCGTGATGGCCTATTCTAAGTCAGGTCAGTCTGTATAATTAGAATATTATAATTCAATCATTTTACATAATGATATTTTTGTGTTTGTAAGCTGGGCATTGAATTGTTTCGTAATGAGATTATTGTGTGTGTTATACCGAGGTGGCATATTCTAAGTCGTCAGTGTACAAAGTTTGATTAATAAGTACAGTCATTAACATGGTAATTTATTGTGTGTTACATCGATGTGACCTATTCTAAGTCAAGTCATTCTTAATAATTTAATTATTATATTAAAATAATTTCATATAGTGTTTTTTTTTTAATTACGTTGTTTCGTACTGAGTGAGCTTATTGAACATAGTACTGAGGTGGCCTATTCTAAGTGTCAGTCAAAAAAAATTTAATTATTATATTACAATAATTTTATATAGTGATTTATTTTAATATTAAATTGTTTTGTATTGAGATAAGCTTATTGAGCGTAATGCTGAGGTGGTCTATTCTAAGTGTCAGACAAAAAAAACAATTTATTACATTAATTGTATGAAGTAATTTTTTTTAAATTAAATTGTTTAGTATTGACATGATTTTTTGGAGTGTTACACTGAGGAGGCCCGTTCTAAGTCGTCAGAATTTACAATGTGACTATATATTCTAATCATTTGAAAAATGATATTTTTTTATTTATGTGTTTGTATATTGTCTATTGGTTTAGCAATTAAAGAACTTGACGGTGTGTTATACTGATGTGGCCTACTCTTAGTCTTGTTAGGTTTTAGAATTTTAACATTTTCAGTTTTTTAAATAATTACGTCCGTTTTTAAAGTGATTGAATTTTTGTACCGTTGGAATTTTTTCTAAAGATAATGAGCTGGTTGTTAGTCATTCTGAGCTGGCCTATTCTGCTCCATCTTGTCTGTATCATTTTGTTATTAATTTAGACAGTTTTATCGGAAATCATAGAAAATCATACTGAAATACTATAAAAATAACCTAATAACTATAAATAAATAACAAATCAGGCTGAGAATAGGTCACCTCTATACAACTAACAATAAGATTTCCTTTACAAAATATTAACAAAAGTTAAAAATGACGAAAATTATTACTAATTCGCACACTTTTTGAAATTGTTATATTATTTATTCTTGGTCCATCTCATAAATGTTAATATTTACATTTTTTTAAGCAATAGATGTTTTAAAAAGGAAATCAGATTTTTGTAGTTATACTGAGGTGGCTTATTCTTAGTCAAGTCTTAGAATTTGAACATAATTATCAATTATTTAATATAATTACGTGCGTTTTCTAAAGTGATGAAAAAAGTTTATCTGCTAGAATTTTTCTAACGAAAACGAGCTGGTTGTTCTGAGCTGGCCCATCCTTCTCTCTCTTGTCGTTATCACGTTATTAATTCACACAGTTTTTTAAGTTATATTATTTAAGTCGTAGAATTCTATATTCTTGATCTATCTCATAAAGCTATATCGTCATTTTCAAATTTTTCTTAATATTTATGATTTTTTTAAAATAGGAAATCAGCTTAATGTTAGCTATCCAGAAGTGGCCTATTCTTAGTCTAGTTAGTTTTTAGAATTTAAACATGACTTATAATTTATTAAATAATTATGTTCATTTTTAAAGAGATGGAATTTTTTAGTACTAGAATGTTTCTAAACATAACCAGCTAACTGTTATTCTGTGCTGGCCTATTCTTCTAAATCTTGTCATCTTGTTGAAGAAAATAATGAAAAATTATAAAAATAATCGAGACTGACAATAAGTCACATCTGTAAAAACAATAAGATTTCCTTTAAAAAATGCTATGACTTAAACATATACCATTAACAGAAGTTATTGTCAGTCATTCTGATGTGCCCGATTCTCAGTCTTGTCATTATTATTTAATTATTGATTCAACGAGTTTTTGTTTATTTTGATATGCTTTATGTCCTATTAGATTAATAAAATAGTATAGTCATTTTTAATTTTTATGATACTTTTTTAAGCTATAGATTTTTTTATTTTTATTTATTTATTTATTTTTTTTTAAGAAAACAAACTTATTGATAGTTATTTGTGGCGGCCTATTCCAATTTATAGTCAATAGGATTTTATGCACCTCGATTCTTGTTTTTTTTTAATTTTTAGAAATTTTTGAATATTAAATTTTTGGTAGATTTCTTGATGAGGTCTGTGGAACGATGAACCGAAAACGATGATTTGTCAGGTCTGCCTGGCTGGCCTATACGCTAGCTGGTCCGACTGGCCATTTTATAATGTTTTTCCATTTTTTTTGGACCTTTTTGGATTTTGTGTATTAAAAAAAATTGTTGGCCTAGCCTAAAGAATAGTTTGTTCAATGTAAGAGGTTTTATTCCAATTTTTTACTAGTATATCATCATATATGGTGTATTTAATTTTTAATTCCTATCGTTTTCGAATATTTTATTTATAAATTTTCTTATTTCCTCCTTCTTTTTCATATTGAGATTATAATGTTTTATTTTTGTCATTTTTTTTCGTTTTGTTCTCGGTCTATTGAGAACAGGTTTTTCCTGATTCACAGACAAGAAGTACAGGTTCGTTTTTTATACTTTATATTACAATATTTGTACAATTCAATCAACAGTTGTGGTTGCTATTTTTGGCTTTTGGTGTGAGTAAATTATGTGGTTTGGTAGTGTGACCTTTCCTGACCCCTGGGGCACATTAGAGTTGTAGAATTTCATATGGTCATATTGAATATCTCTGTATGTACAGATTGTCTATGTACGAGTCGAGTAAAATAATCGATAAATTTATCTTTTTGCTATCTGTGCTAATTGGTGGCGTTTTACGAGCTTCTGCGGAAAATGAAGACCCGGATGAAGTTAGATATGTGTGTGTGTGTGTGTGTGTGTTTTGTGTGTGTGAGTACCCGGCACATGCATGGTGGGGGATGAAATGTTTTTGTTGACCTCCCCCCTTCTTAGAGCTGTTTCGCCTCCCGGTCCGACGAGGGACGAGCTCATTCTCCGGCAGACAGTGGTACGCGTCCGTGTCTTTTCCTCAGTCCCGGATAAAAAAAAATTCGATTATTCCGTTTCATCGCTCTTTCCCGTTTTCGCAGCTATGTCCAAGGAGGGCGAGAAGGAAAAACGTGACTCGTGGGTCGAGATGAACGAGATGGAACGCCGGCCGAGGTTCCAGGTGAACAGGGTCGACGGCGAACAGGGCGACGAAGAAGAGCTGGACAGGCTGTGCCAGGACGAAGACGAAGACTATGTCGCCTCGTACGGAAAAAGCTTCCGACACTTCACCAGGGAGGCCCTGCCGAGGATGGATAACTACAGGAACATCATGTCCATCCAGGCCGCCCACCGGCCGACCCTCGAGGAGCTTCACAACGAGACCCTACACGGCAAGGTAAGACCTACCACACTCTTTTATTCGCAACCTCCTATTCTAGGAAATCCTAGAACCGTGCACACAAAGCTTTCTGTTTACCGTTACGCTTCTCTCGTAATTTTTATCTTAAGAGGTTTGAAGATTTTTACTCCACTATAAACCGCTTCCTGGGACGTTTGCGGTTTCACCGGCATCGGCTCGTGGAAGATCGCCAACCACGTGTTGATCCTCTGACAGCTCGCGGTCGCCAAACATTGACATCGCCTTAGAAACGGCTTTTTATCATCTTCAAACTATCTATTTTTTCTTCTTTCTTTTACAAATATTACTAAAAAATAATTTACACTACATCAGTGATATTTGAATTAACACAAGGTCATACACTAAATATATAATCAATGAACATGACTCCACAAAAATTACAAACATACCCATTTTTTTCTTTAACTTCATTCAAATTTTATTGAGTTATTTTATTGAGTTTATTTTTCATTAAGAACATAATCTACTTGAGATTTCTCCAATGTGAATATTAATAATTGCATGATGCTTGTAAAAAAACATTGTCTTTTATGAGAAATTCTGCTTCATATCAGTTTCGTTAAAATTTTATTTAATAATGTTTCACATGGGCGACTTTTGAATAATTATTAAAATTCAACCTGTTAAGACTTTTCCGGTGTAAAAGTGATAATTGTATGCTGTCTATATAAAAAAATAGTGACTTCTCTGGACAATTCTGTCCCCTATGAAAAAGAGCTAGAATTTTCTTCAATTTCATTGAAATTTTATTTAGTATGTACACTTCACATTGACAACTTTTGAATAATTATTAAAATTCAATCTATTAAGACATTTCCGGTGTAAAAGTGATAATTGCATGCTGTCTATATAAAAAAAAAATGGTGACTTCTCTGAACAATTCTGTCTCCTATGAAAAAGAGCTAGTATTCTCTTCAATTACATTAAAATTTTATTTAGTATGTAGATTTCAAATCGACAAACTTTGAATAACTATTAAAATTCAATATGTTAAAAACTTTTCCGTGTGAAAGTGATAATTGCAAGCTATCTATATAAAAAAATGGTGACTTCTCTGGACAATTCTGTCTCTTATGAAAAAAAGCTTCGTTTCATTAAAATGTTATTTAATATGTACATTTCACATCTGTAACTTTTGATTAATTATTAAAATTCAATATGTTAAGGACTTTTCCGGCGTAAATGTGATTATTTCATGTTTTCTACATAAAAAACAATGGTGACTCTCTGGACAATTCTGTCTCTTATGAAAAAGAGTTAAATTTCTCTTCAATTTCATTAAAATTTTATTTAGTATGTATATTTCACATGGGCAACTTCTGAATAATTATTAAAATTTAACCTGTTAAGACTTTTCCTGTGTAAAAAGTGATAATTGCATGCTGTCTATATAAAAAAATAGTGACTTCTCTGGACAATTCTGTCTCCTATGAAAAAGAGCTAGATTTCTTTTCAATTTCATTGAAATTTTATTTAGTATGTATAATTCACATCGGCAACTTTTGAATAATTATTAAAATGCAATCTGTTAAAGTCTTCTCCAGTGTAAAACGCGATAATTGCATGCTGTTTGTAAAAAAAAAATTAAATAACGTACGTTCCACGATGGAAAACATTTATTATTTATTAAAAACATTCTCTACTAAAGACTTTACAGATGTAAAATATGAGAATTGCACTATAGAAAAAGTATGTCTTTTATGAACAATTCTGTTTCCTCTGAAAAAAGAAAAAAAAACTAGATTTCTCTCCAGTTTCGTACAAAATTTTGTTGAATAAAATAAGTCCCTCTTAAAACAAAAAGTTTATAGTTTATAAAATCATATTGACTTCGCTGGTGTAAAAGGTGAAAAGTTCATGTTATCTGTAAAACAAAAACTATGCCTTTTATGATCAAATCGGCCTCATATGACAAGTCTAGATTTCGGTTTTCCCTTCGGTTTCCATCAAATTTTGTAAAATTCACATTGTAAAATGTTGACTATTTATCAAAAAACAATCCGCTAAAGACTAATCTCTCTCAAAAGTATATTCTGAGTCCTATGGAAAAAAAATTATCCAGCTTCATTCAGATTTCCTTTAATACATATGTTCCACATTGGAAAATTTTATTTATTTTGAACAAAACTGTTCCCTCATGGGAAAAATGAGAATTGCATGTTGTTTGTACCAGAAATTATGCTTTTAATGAGTATTTCAGCCCCCTATAAATAAAATATATTTTTTCTTGAATTGCATTCAAATTGTATTTAATAAAATGCTCCACATTGGAAATCGTATATTATTTATTAAATATATGAACTTCTAGAAATCTCCCTCGAGTGAAAATTTATAATATAACCTTTTCTTAGAACAGAGTATGCATTTTATGAGCATTGTGACTTCTATAAAAATCTTGATTGCTCTTCAGTTAGATTCAAATTTTATTATGAGTAATTCAGTCTCCTTGAGAAAAAACTAGGTTTCTCTTCAGTTCCATTTAAATTTGACTGAATAAAATATTGGAACACGTTGAATATTTATTAGAAATATAATCAGTTTATTGTCAGATATATACACCCTCCACATTATATATTTAATGACATGCAAACATCCTCCATGAAGGTCAGACAAAAAAACAACGAATTTACATATTTTACTTAAATTGATTCAAATTTTATTCCCCCTAATAACGTGGTATTAATTAGGCCAATATTTCCGGAGTATGATCAATTATGCCCTTTATTGTATTGTCTGCGTTAAATATTCGATAACGTTTGGTATTTATTTTAAAAAAATATTTATCCTGAAAAAAATTAATAAAAACACATTTTAAAAATATTCCCAATATTTTCCGTTCATTATGGCCAAGATGCTTTTTATGTGCAATTCTGTATCCTATGACCTTTGGAAAAAAGACATTTTACGATCCTACAAGCAATTAAAGTCAAGGTTTATTGAGAACACATTTTTTTATCATTATCATCATAATTAATTAAGGTTTTTAGTTGAGATTGTAATTGTAATATATTAATTGGTCAAGTGGACCATGAAATTAGTCAAGGAATTATCATCATATTTTCCATCGAACTTCGGACAAAAGCTAAAACCTGAAAATTTCAGGACGAAACAAAAACAAGACTTCATATTAAATTAACAGGTTAAAACAAAGGTTTTAGCTTAAAAATTCCTTTACAAAGGTTTAAACTAGTTTAAATTGATCTGTTTCTTGAATAATTTTATCAACTAAGATTAAATTCAGAAGATTATATTTTACGATTTTATTATTATTAAGTATAATCATTTATACATTTATTACATAACCAGTGATAAATAAATTATAGCATATTAAAAAAGTTGAACTTTATCGTATTCTTCAATGATCATCGGGAAAAAAATTTCAAATTATATAGTTTATTTAAATTTTTCAGAGTATTTTAAATAAAATATATCAACCGATCTTATCAATAATTGTTACGAAATGCTGACTATGAATCAGAATTTAGTTTACTATTTTTCAGTTCTTTAAAATCGTAAAAAATTTTAATTAAAATTAACATAAATAAAAATAACTCTTTGTGCTTTCTGGGTTCTTGGTTTATAAACAGTAAAAAAAATTTTAAAAAAATTGACATTTTCCACCCCATGCTGTCTTAATAATTCGGGACTTTATGGATTAATATGAGATAAGGTGTTTCAATTTTATAAGTCCCCTGTAGCTTATTTTATTGCTCTGCTTTTGCTTCATTATTCTCCTGTCATCTCTTCCAACCTCCTCTAGGTCAAATAGCATGTAATTCGTTTAAAACATTCTCCATCGGCCCTCAAGGTTCTTGTATTCAGCTGCGGGTCTTTGTCGTTTTGATGTTACTTCGATTTTGCCTGATTGCATAATTTTATTTATTTTTCGGATATAAAACAAAATTGGTGGTGCCGATGTGTATTTCTTGGCAATGTGAGACCATAATTTTTATGCTGATTAATGGCCTATTGGCTATTTGAATTGGTTATGTTTTAATATTAAAGTAAGTAGATTACTTACTATATTACAATCGTACATACTGACATTTTTAGGAAAAATGTAATTATTCAAAGAATTTATGGAACTATGTTAAACATAAGAATTTGAAACTTGTTTTTTAGCCCGTTAATCAAAAATTCCTTCTAGTACCTTGAATAGGATTTTTTTTATTCGACGTGTTCTTCATCAGCGAAAGTTTGATGATTAGTAAATCTGCCTTGTTAAGCTCATTTGCTGACAAGATTAATACCTTAGTCTTTATACAGAGGGTCGACGGTTTCCAACGACCGCGACATCCAAAAAAGGTAGGAAAAAAAAACAAGTTTTCGTAAGCTCTTATGTGATTAGCGACCGAAACAACTGGTTTGCAACTGGGTATTAAAATGAACTTATTTCCATTCGCATGTCAGTTGTTTGTCTGAGGGTGGAGACATTGTGTTTTTATGTTTAATAAAAGTACCTAACAAAATGTTCATATTTTTGAAAATTGGATCACGACAAAATTCGGCTTATTTTCTGCTTACGGAATTACAGATCCTAGAATCGTAAACAATATATATGTAAGATATATAATGTAGAGATGGATAAGTAAATTGGGATTGAGAAAGATTATATTCTACAGATTCAATTGATAGGGAGAGTAAGAAAGAGTGAAAATGAGAGAGAAAAAGAGAAAGAGAAAAAAAGAGAGAGAACGAATGTTATAGAAAGAAAGAGACTATGAGTGAGAGTGTTAGTGATACAGTAAAAATTATATTGTCGATTATTTCAACAGATTCGATTCATACGGTGAAAAATGAGGGAGATTGAAGAAGAGTGCGAGAAAGAGAGAGAGAGAGAGAGAGAGAGAGAGAGAGAGAGAGAGAGAGAGAGAGAGAGAGACTGAGAGGGATAGTGATAGTGTGAATGGCACTTAAAAAAATAATGAAAAACAAGTGAAAGAGACAGAGAGAGGCTCTTGCGTGTGAGCGATACT